AATCGCTGACTTTGCAGCATGCCTCAGTCCCCCGACTTCCTGCGCGGTCCTCAGTAACCTGGGCTACAACCGAGCCCGCATAATTTTCGGTTACGACAATACCATAAAGTTGAGGTTGCCAGATTTCACGGAGACTTCGCCGCTGTCTCGAACTCTTCCTTTTTCAACCAATCTATGGCCTGACGACGGCGGAATTTTTATGCTGTTAATATGTAAATTTATGTACATTTATAATATGCGTTTATTTTCATTAGCTTTTGAGTAATAATTTTGTGACATTTCGTTACAGTCCTAATAGGCTAAGCTTAAGCCGTAAAATTGACTTCGTGATAGAAGAAATAACATTAATTCTGTATAATAAAATTGCTACCCGTTAAATGCATGAAGAAATAGAATAGTGTGTATTTGAGGATGAGGAAAACTAGAATGAACTAAAGGGTACAATAGTACCGTTAGTTAATGAAAGTTTGAATTTGTTACTAGAATTTAATCGAATTTCGTTTTCTCTAACTTGGATTAGCATATTTCTTATAATAATTGACATAATTTCGTCTTTTCGGATTTGCATGGCTTAATACATCGCCAGCTGGCTTCTAAATACATATTGGAGAGCTCTTTAGCAGATATCGGCTTCGTAGTATTTCGGGTGCGTCGTGGTAGCGCCATGTAAATTCATATACGCGATACGCGTGTTATTCTTACCGGTGATGTCGAAGCGTAACATCTTTCTTGCAGAACGATGTATCTGCATTTGTAGTTATACATGATTGCAGATGGGTGTGCTTTAGTTAGTGCTCGAATATGGTGTTGTTCAGCTCAAATTCTTGATGCTCTTTTACATCTGTACCCGACAGGTGCAAAGATACAGTAAAGTCGTTACCTGCTTATATGTTTCCATAGGCCTATCGAAGTTAAGAAGCACATGACATCGCGTTGTTTTCATCCAGAAATTGCTACATGTATAAACTAGTATTTAAAATTTTTTTATCGTACCCTCGATCCTGTGTCAGGCGCTTATTGCAGCGTTTTCTCGATCCGTATTATGAGTCAGATCCGCATTTGTGCATCGTAAATGGATCGAGAAGGAGTTGCATGCTGCATAAATGTTAGCTTTAAGTGAACGGGATTA